TAGTCATCCAAATATCGCATGAGCACTCTTGGTCGCAGTGGTGACTTCTGGAATTCCCTTTCCAACTTGTCCATGTACACATTTGCCAAAAGAGGTGACAGTTAAGATCCCATCGGTAGTCCAAATATTTGCTCGTAGATACTGCCGTTAATTGTTAAATATGTGGTCCCTACTGTCAGGTTGATCAAATCGTGTTAACGATTCTTTCCGTATCCGTTCTACTAAAAGATATGCTAATGGAAATCGACAAATAGATTATGAATTCTTCAATTTAGAGTGGAACAAGACTACCAAGAGCCTATGGACTACGGAAAATACACAAGGAAGGAAAACCGCTAAGATTAAGAGTTAACAACAAGCATAGAGCAACAAGTAAACTGTCGAAATTAATTTGCCTGGAGTTAAGAAAGGAAATGCCAGACTCTCGAACACGGTGAAGAATTCATATGACTCTTCTCAAAGGATCCAAGACATTGGGCTGGTGGGACGGAACTATTGAGATGACTCTCGGAGGCAATGTAAGATATCTGCAAACCTAGGAAACATATAGTACCTGGAGGAAGAGGAATGTGGAATAAACGACAGCCTTGGATCAATAGTCCCAGCACAGTGGGGGATGAGGGAACCAGCTGAGAATGTAAATAGGTCTCACTAAATCCCCTCAAAAGGGCACACATAAACTGGTTTTAGATAAACAAGTAAGAAATTGTGATAATGAAAGGGTGTTACGAGGATATAGAATAGGTAAATACACCAGGACAATTGGAGAGACCACAACTGTTTAGCAGGCAATCGGTCAAAGGATTAGCTTCACTTGTCTCCTTGACGAGTTGTAGTGTTGTACTAAGTCTGGCAAGGCTTACTGACGATGCCGACTATGATGCTGGTGAAACGCCTGGAAATGTACTAAGTCCACTGTCCGACTGGAAATTATCACGCATACTATGCACTCCGGACAAGGTGTGTTCCTCTAGGTCTTCCTGCAAATATGACTAAGCTGCGAAGACAAGGTCAAATAACTTCTATACAACGAAAGGAGACCGCGACCACACTAAATGCCAGACCATCTTCGTCTTCATAACTTTCGTCCTTATGCTTTAGGGGCTTTCACTTGTCCCTTCTACTTTCCTTTGATATTTCCAGACAATATGTATTCGTTTATTCAGGCCTAAAGACTGTCGCCTTGACAATTTCTGTACTTTGCTTGCACTTAGTTTTGATCCGAAAGAATTACAGACCACATCAGATGCCACAACATCTTGGTCTTTATATCTTCAAAAGAATTATGTTGATTTTGAAGATAGAATTTTTATTCCCTCAAATCTTTATCAGTTTCAGTTCTAGCACTTATGCATTTATACACCCACACACGCGTACACCTATACGAACATTCATAAACTCATTAAGTTTCTTTCCACTTACGCGAAACTAGGCTAAAAGTCTAAGCACCTTACACCTATTTCGCTTTTCTTTGCAAGGATCATTATAAACTCATTTTATACTCCATTATTTATTCGCTATTTACTTATATTTCTAGTTACCTATGGTCACCTTTTTACAATTACTTTTTTCGCCATCAGGTCGAGTACCGCTATAGCCTGCTCGTCTGCTCCCCTATTCCGTCACCATCGGAACTTTGGGTCACATCCGATGGGGTCCTTGTGGCAAAGTCTGCAGCTAACTCTACGACTTCTGGTATAGGAATTTTGCCCCCAACTTCTTCCTCTTCTCCTCCACCATCATCAGCAGGGAGCCTGGACCCGGTTCTTTTGGCTGCAATGCAAGCCCAAACAGCTTGCGCACCTAACGGCCTCTTTTTAAGAGTCACACACTTTGTTCAGCTCGATGGAGAGAGTGTATGGACCAAGAATCCTGCCATATCGGTAGGTCCGATCTAAACAAAGGGTTACTAGGTTCCTACTATCTTGTTTAGATCGTATGGCTTTACTCTTGGCTTTTTTGTCCCTATCCTCATGGTCACCCATTTCATATTTGGTATCATATAAATATCAGCTAGGGGCCTATATGCTACTTACTCTACACATTGGATGAAAGGGATTTGTAAATTGATTTAATCGGGAACCGAAACATGATTGTTTTAGAGTCATGATTTTGGGTGTTTTCGAGGAATTTCCAGCACACTGTTCAATGAGACTAAGATATTAGGTTTAAAATGAATAAACAATTTTATTACCATTACTATAAGTTTTGGTAATTAAGAAAGATTGTTAGCTGGTACATCCTTTAGAAAACAGGCAATAATTAGTGCTTTGAAAAAGGGTAGCATAAAAACTTATAATGGGCTGTTGGTCCTGCATTGCCTAGAAGATGCTCAAACTCATTATTTTTTCTTGCTTATTCCTTTCCTTAGAGGTTATAACTGGCCCAGAAGGTATCTGTCATTCGACAGATGGGAGCTCAGTATACATTGAATACATTTTCCTGGATGCTAAGCTCACGACGCTATGGTCAAAAGAAACTCGCTAATTCTACTGTTCTGAAACGAATATGAGCATAATTCAGGCCTTCTTTACTCAAACTTTGTGAAATTCGAATAATTAGTTGGGCAATATCACATCGAAATAGACGACTTGATACGATTGACAAAATGATTTGTACCCACAGGTGTTGACCTCTAGTGAAATTAATCATTATAATATTGGCTCGACATTCATATCTTCGATTTAATCTTTATAGTCAAGTCTTATTTTCTGTTTATCTCGGACACTGATAATCAGGCTTCGGGATACCATGGCTATTTTCATCACCTTTTATTTTATGGAGGAATAACAACTATTTTCTCTCCAAATGAGTTGCAGCCTGTTTGTTAATTTAGTTATTTTGAAGATAAATTTTTAATAAAAATTGATAAATTTCTTATAAGTGACACATTTAAATCATAGCCTTGTGCACGTTTGCTGGTATTACGTTTTTATCTCTTCCATAAGATAACGAAATTTATTTACTCAGCCTTCCTGCACAAATGCTGAACATGTTGATGTTCGATAATTCTACTTTATTCCGACAGCTGTATGGTGTACTGTTCAAATATTGCCATATGCCTTTAAAATTTTGGCCTCAAAGCCGATTAATGCTTTCTTATTTAGGCCTTGATTAATTATATCGTTGAAATTATTTCTAATTCACCCTAAATTTTCCATATCCTTCGTAAGCAGTCAAACCCCCGCGTTTTTTACTGTCTCTATAATTTCCTACATCCAACAAAGATTAATTTAACTAGCATTCTTCTTTCTAATCACCAGCCTGGTTAATACATTCTAAATTGGTTTATTATTTACTACATATATTAGATTATTCTTTCATCGTTCCTTTACGACATTATTTTTTGAATAATTATTTTACTTCATGCTTCGTAATATCTCTTGTCTATTCACCTTTCGCTTTTATATTCAACTACGATTTACTGTAGCTGAAAATCTTCATATCTTCAGAATATTTAGTTATCATCACACCCTTTTATTTAGAGTTAGGATTAAGCGATGGTTTGGCTTCTGTTTTCAAATTGATTTTTGACGTACCCCATCAGAGATAATCTGTTTTATACTACCAACCACAATTTTTAACAAGAATCTGGAACAATAACTTAACCTCTTATTTTTCTCCCAATCGGCATATTTGATATTGATCTTCCTCGAAAACTATCCCAAGTTTAGTGAAAGTTTATTGGTTAAATTTTTATCGTTTATCATGTTCTGATGACGCTTTGCATATATATGAGGTTCTGATTAATTAGAAGGCATCGGAGCTAGAATAATTTGGTCCAAGTATACAGTTAAAAAGGTATAAAGCAAAAGGCACACTACAGTTTACTGAACAATAAATTATATATCCAAATGAATTCCAGATCAATTCGTAAAAATATTTATTATTTAGTTACTTATTCTATGTATAAGATCCACATGTGATTCCTAGTAATTAATTACTTTACAGGAATGAGATGTATTCACCCTATTTCGTCTAAGGTGATTTAGAACTGGTAGTAGAATTTTCCCACAATGCAATGAGTTGAGCTGACGTTTCCATTAAATTTCACATAGCCTTGTTTTCCCAAAAGCTGTTCTCATCCAGGGTGAGAAAAACTTTTGGTTAAAGGCTATGTGAAATTCAATGGAAACGTCAGCTCAACTCATATCATTGTGGGAAAATTCTACTACCAGTTCTAAATCACCTTAGACGAAATAGGGTGAATACATCTCATTACACTGATTTACTGGTAGTCTCGAAACCCTACGCTCATACGAATACTTTAGAGGAATTTATCGAATGTACCATGTCGTATTCTCTTGAGTTATAGCTAGTAAACAAAATAAGCAAAGTCCTCTAGTGCAAATAAAGGACTGTTTTCTTTGCCTTCCTGTATGAGTAACGTCTTTATCCAGTAAAATGTCTATTCTTAGCCACTTAAAGCATCGAGGCTCCTAATATCTCTCGTCCATTTACAATAGAGGACCATTATTGGAAAGTCTCATAAAGATCTGGATCCTTACCTTCACGTTTTATTTTTTTGGATGCTTCCCGCTCTCCTTGGCAGTTGTCTCGCAGTTTATCTTGTTGGCGTATCAATCGTATGATTGTAGATTTTTATATTCAAATTTTCTTTGCCAACTTCCAGTGACTGGTGTTAATCGGTTGGGTTTTAATTTGGTCCAATAAGCACATTCTTTTAAGCAGTGACAAATCTTTCGTGGAATCCT